GTGGAGCAAGGACAGAAGAAAACAGGTTGTTTCTGACTATTTCTGACAGATTTGAACCCTAAGTGAAATTTCCACAGATACAGCCTGAAGTCAATTCCCACCAATATTAGAAAATTACCTTTTACCTCCCAACTTCCATTTTTTAAATAATTTTTTATTGATAAATTTTTGTTTGTAATATTATACTTTATGAGTTCTAAATCAAACTTTCAATTATTAGAAATTTGTATTATAGTTTAATATACCATTCAATCTCAAAGTCAAATCTTTTTTAAAGAAATTAAGAAGAAAGAAAGAAAGAAAGAAAAGACTATTAAATTTGTGTGTTTTTCTTTGTGGGAGTTAATAAAAATTATGTTTTTATTTTACAGTTGTTTGTGTCAAATGTATAATAAAATAAAACAAATAGAGAGTTGTTAATAAGGCAAATTAAAAGCATGAATGAAGATGGTCACATGTGATTAAAATGCAGCAATTTTTTTTTTAATTTTTTTTTGGTTCTTGACATTTCCCCCACATGTGACAAGACTTCTAGACATTTTTCTAAAAAAATTATTTTTCTTATTAAAAAAAATCAAAAAGAAAAAAAAATATTTGACCCTCATTCCAATAGATTATTTTCACGTACYTTCATTCTACTCGAATTTTGAGATGAATGACGTTGCTTTGAAAATATGTATATTAATGTGATAATGCAAGACTACATTGAAGTCATAGATTGATCGAGGTAAGTATTAAGTGAGGATAAAAGTTGAGTAGAATAACGACAATGACTAAAATGATTGTTTTTATCGTATAGGCGACAAAAAAAAAATTAACATTTTGAAAATTTATAGACTAATTTTTTTAGTTAAATTACAAATTTAACCTATCCAGTTGTGTCATCCACTAGTTATCCCCATTTTTTTTTTAAAAAAAATACAATTTTGAAAATTTATGGAAAAAAAAAGTTATTTGTTAACTTTTACCTAACAATTAAAAATGCCACCTATATACAATATGTCACTTTAATTCTCTGGAATTATACCAACGGTCTTTAACACAAATCCCAATATTATACGAGGTTTGAATCTCCAATCTCAAAAAAAGAAGTATGTATCAATTACCGCTGAGTTATGTTTATATTGACCACGGACACAATATTATCCATTCATGTTTCCAAACATATTGGGCCACAGCGACTCCAATTTAATAAAATCAAAATATTAATKTTAAATTAGTATACAAATTAGGTTTTAAATACGGTTATCAAATATATTAGTGTTAAATTAGTACGCAAATTAGGTTTTAAATATGGTTTTGGTTCATCCACTTTTCTTATTGGTTTATTTTTGTTCTTTTTATTTCTAAAACGTTTATTTAGTCCATGTGTAGTTTTAACTTTTGCTTGTTTTAGTCTCCCTCCTTTCAAAATATTCATTTTGTATTGTTGGTCATTCAATTTTATTTTTATCTCATTTTCTTCCATCATGCTATGACATTTTACTTGCTAAATATTTCTAAATATAGTCATAATTTTGTATCCAATTGTTTATATTGTGTTTGAAAATTTGTGTTAAAAATTTACAAAATAGAGACCCCAAAATGGCAACTTTTCAATGTATAGAGATCAAAACAAACGCTTTGAGAGTATAGAGACTAAAATGCACCAAAGTTAAGAGTACAGAGATCGAAATAGTATTTAAACCCGAAAATTAATATAAAATTTTAGGGTAAATGACACAAATCATCTTTGAAGTATGATAGTTGTTGCAATTGCACTCTAAACTCTCAATTTTAAAACCCTTGAGCTTTCATAAATGACAAAAATAGACCAATAAGTGATAAAATTTATATTAGTATACCGTTCTCACAAAAGGCATAAAATTGCTGAAATTGATGGTTCACAACTGAACTTGATTCCAACGTTCGAATGAATAACCACATAGCTGAATTCCCCCTTAACGCATACAATTTGTCCGGAATCTCAGAGATAAACATAAATTTGAATTCCTTACGCCAACAGTTATTATATTACACTATAAATACCTGTAAGTGAGGAGGGAAAGGTACGCGATCTTTGAGAATTGAGTTACATTTGAATTAACTCAAATCTTGTATGGACAAAAACTTCAAAGTTCTAACTACTTTCTTGCACGATTCTATCTTCGAGTGTTGTGAGAGATGTATTGTTTTTTATCGAACAATTTCGATAAAATCAAGAAGGACAATGCTTCGAATCCCTAGCTAACCTTTTGGTCAAGATGATATTTACTTTAGTTACCAATTGAACCACGTTTAGATTGACTATAACTTACGTTTAACGGATTAATTGACATAGACGCATAAGATTTATGATCAAATCGATGAATGATTGCATGCTATTATTATTTATAACATGATGAATTAATATGGAATATAATGTAGCTGTAAATCAATGATGAAACGGTGGGTTAATGGGTCACAACTTCCTTCCAAACCCAAATTTAGCTGGCAAATTAGATTCAATAAACAACACAAAATTTGATTATCACACTTCTCCAAATAATTAGGCATATGAGGTGGCTGCCACCGTCGGTGTGGTTGTTGAGATTTTCTTTCTACTAAATAACTCATCTAAAAAATAAATAAATAAATTTATTTAATATCATCGTCACCCAATGGAGTAACGTAACCCTTTGTAATATATAAACTTTACATTTTCTTTCATAAATTCAATGTTATAAAGTTTTCTACCAACATAACTATTGTTGATCAACATTTTTATTTGGAATCAAGGAGGTGTAAGAAATCATGTGATTTCATGTTTATTTATTTTTATATATCTTGTTTGGAACGAGAAAATTTTGAAATGGATATAATTAAATTTCTTTGTTGGGATGTTTATAAAATAAAAGTTTTATTAATAAAGGCTTTTAATGCTAATTCATTAACGAAAATTTATATTTTATATAGTACGAAAAAGTCAATAAAAAAGTAATTTACTTTTAAATTCTATAAATGTTTTGAAAAGTTCAGTTGTTTTGGTTAAGTTTTTTTTCCTTTYAGGTAAAAACATTATTTGAGATAATTTTCTTTCATGTAATAAAAAGCAATGAAATTCATTCAAAATCACACGTCATATTAGGTAATTACAAATACACAATTCTATCAAAAGTGGTTTGGATTAGTGAATACATGGAAGAATTTACCTAGTGGATCAAGCATTCTTGGGGTGGGATATCTGATAAGGAATCTCAAATGTGTGGGTGGATGCCTCCTCCGATGGACATGGTGAAAATCAATTCGGATGTTGCCTCTGAAAATTGAAGATTGAGAATTGAAATTMTGATACAGGATAATAGACGAGMTCTTCACGTGGCTATGGAGAACACTCACACTGCAACGAATCCTCTGTTGGCATAACTTCTTGCCATCCGCGTGGGAGGATGAAATTAGTATTGCGATTAGGGCCGGTTAAAGTAGGTGTTGAATCCGATTCTTTGGAAGCTATCAGCCTGATTCATCGGTCTTCTGATTCGCAAGATGATGCTGCAACTTGGGTTRAGGATATCAAAATTTCGGTTGAGTAGTTTGAAGTGATTTCATTCTCTCATATTTTTAGAGAGTCAAATAGTGTTGCTCATTCTCTTACTAGGGAAGCTTTTAATTTGGATAATGCATTCTTGTGGTGGTCAAATTTTCTAAATTGGATTAGTCATTATGACCGTCAAAACTCTGTAGCCCCAATGAATTATAATGAAGTTTGTTTTTAAAATATAATACACACATATATATTATTTCTCTTTATGGATCCCCAAAAAAGGAAAAAAAAAACCACATTATCCCAATCT